TAAACATGAAATCCCAAAATTTTTTTCACAAAATTAAATAAACATACAAGGGGCGACGACACAGCACGAATGGGCAAAATGGGAGAAGAGGTAGGATAGAAAACAATCGGCAACAATGAAATGAACGATTCCTCCTTTTTTGACCGTGGGGAGCCACTGAGGAATAATTATTACTCCAACAACGTTTTTTATTGCTCAGAAACCAGTGTCCGGTAGCTTATTTCAAAACCATGGTTTCCATGGCCAAAACCTTGATTTTGCCTGAAACCATGGTTTAAAAAAAAAGTGGGTGTTTGGCTGATTTTTACCCAAACTATGGTTTGGGTTCCCAAACCATGGTTTAGGGAGATAACTAAACACCCCCTTAAATAGGCGTAAAAGCACATGCCTCCAAATTCATGTATAACTCTTTAAACTTATTTTAAAACCTACATTATATCTTAAAAGCTTAGAATCTATTTTCACATACCATATAAAATAATAAGAGTCCAGTACAGAGAAAGAATGCTTAGTGACAACAATTGTTCCAGCAAATATGAATAAGAAAAACCAATTATATGTTGAATAAGGAGATATATTTTCTAAAATCAACCAAACCCAACAAGTGACATGTAAAACTAGATTTTACCTCTTGCTTTTCTAGCAGTATTATAATATTTCATTTGGGCATCACTAAAACAAACTTATTATAATTATTATGTTTTAGTGAACAATATAAATCAGGGGAGAGCGAGTGAGCTAATGTAGTCATCTTGAGTGATCAAAGAAAAGAAATGTAGAGGTGAAAGATTGATTGATGAAATGATTGCGTTTGTATGTGAATGATGAGATGTGAGACTTAAGATTATGACTAAGCTAGTAATTTCATACATAATTTATAAAATTAATCTGGATTATATTATATAATAGTGTGAATTTAAAAAAAAAAAGTTAAATAGGCCAAGCATGTAGGCTTATAGGGTAGGCCTTATAAAAATTAAAAATAGGCCTAGCCTATTTATCTAAATGAGCTTTGCAATAATCCTAAGTCCATGCTTGTTTACTAAATAGGTCAGGTTAGGCTTATAGACTAAATCATAGGTTCATGATAGAGAGCTAGCCTACTTTCATCTCTAATTACCGTACACGTGAACAGAAGCATTGGGGAGCTGGTCAGAGAGTGGCATTAGCTCAGTTCCTTTTATGCTGTAGATATTAAAAGTCATGTGGATTAGCAAGCTTTACACATAAATAAAACACACCGAACACCTCCACGCAAGAGACAAAACCGCTGATCTTTTTGAGGGGTGGAGGGGCGAAGAATGCGGAGCCAAGAGATTGATCGAGGGAGAGAGAAATGAGGGAAGAAATGTTTGCAGGGTTTTGATAATCCCTGGATGGATGGATTGATTGTGAGAGAGAAGAAGGAGGGAATGGGGCCTGGTGGGACTAGGAGACACAACCTCATCGTACGTTTCCACATGGGTTGTTGCGTCCTTTTGCACTTTCATCCTAATTCAGTGACCCCAGATTTTTTTTTAAAGTATTACTATTCCTACCAATTTTATGAGTTTGTCCTTGTTTTTTTTTAAAACTGCCCATTGGGTATTATTTGCCGCATATAGTTATGATATTTTCCCTAAAATAATGGAGCAATGTCCATGAAGTCTGCTGGTAAAAAAAAAAAAGTCCATGAAGTCTAAAGATGAAAGTTGAAACCCGAATCAATTGATCCTCATGACCCTCATATTGGGGTTTGGATGGAGAAGGTCAAGAGACGAAAGAACGCGGAGACGGGAAGAAAATGAAATGAAGAGTCTGAAAAACAGTAATCACTCTCGCTCCTTTTCCACCACTTCGACTCATTCACTACTCACTTTCAATGTAGATAGTAGGGGTGTTCATAGTGCCCGCATACCCAGTGTGCCCGCCCGAGCCCAGGAAAAAAAAAAACCCGACCCAGCCCGAAAAAATGTAGCCCAAACAAAAAAAGGGCACTTTTGGGCAGGGCAGGGTACCCTGACTTGCCCGTTTGGCCCTGCCTGGAAGTTTTTATTTTTTTTAAAATTTTTTTTTTTCACTTTCACTCTCCAGTCTGGCAGTCTCCACTCTACAGTCTCCACTCCATCAACCTACCTTTCATCACTTCATCAGAGATTTAGAACCCTACCCATTTACCGAACGCGGCGGCAATGCGGTTACTCCCCCCCACTTTCAGTTTTGAGTCGCTCCCCTGCTTGTCGGTCTCGGTCGCTCCCCTGCCACTCGGTCTCGGTCACTCCCTCCCAGTGCAGTCTCCTACCTCCGCGTGTTGTGACTGCTCACTGCCATCTCTGATTTGAAGACTGAAGCTCGCCAAATACTCCGGCTCAACGAGTCGTTGCTCGCCTGGATCTTGCCTCTTGCCGAGTAGTCTCTCGGTATAGACCATTTCTTCCTCCTTTTTCACTATCTGGAGAAATAGTATGCTCTACAAACCTCACCTTGTCGGTCTCGGTCACTCCCAGTCTCCCACCTCACCTTGCTGTCTGTCCAATCTAAAGCTCGTCGAGTAGTCTCTCGGTATCTCTTGGTCGCTGTCTCTTCAATCTCAAGCTCGCCGAATACTCCATCTCAACACCTCAACCACCATCACGTCTCTCGGTCACTCGTTGCTCCACAGCTCCAATCTCCACTCGGTGAGTTGTGACAGCACGGATTCCTTTCTCCAGTCTCCACGCATGTCTCTGTATCATATGATTGTATTTGATTCTGCTTTGATTCAGTCGCCCAATTGTGCCATTTGATTCTGCTTGGATTATTTCTGATTTTCTGTTTCACAATTCATATAATGCTGTTTCTATGGAGGTGCATGAGATATTTAGATTCATCATCTAATGTTGTGTTTTGTAATTGCATCTACAAGCTCAGGCCTGTCGTGTCTATTCAAAAAAAAAAATTCATGTAATGCCATGTTCGTTTTAGTTTGCAAGAATTTGAGATAACAGAGAAATGGTTCTGCACTTCTGCTTCAGTGCTTCTACCGTGAAATGAGTGGCAAAGTTGAAATAGCAGAGTCATTGTAGTTACTGCCATGTTCGTTTTAGTTTCCAAGCATTGCTCAATTTTTTTTTTAATAATTCGTTTTAATATTTGGAGTAGTAGAATCATTTTAAATGAATCAATTAAATCAAATGGTATATCGTGAGCTATACTTTATAGCAGTATTATTGTATCAATTCAAATTTCTTGCCATGATTCATTTCTCACAGTATTTCTTCAGTCTCCACTTGTGTTTGTATGATATAATGCTATTTGATTCTGCTTTGATTCATTTAAAATTTCTTGCTATTTGTGTATTGATATATTTTTTAAAAATAATTTGTTCAATCACGTGATATTGCAGCTGCAATGGATGATGAACCTTCTATTACATCACCATCCCCAGTTGTTGGTGGAAGGTCTCAAGCTGCTTCAGCCTTCAACCCCTCTTCAAACACCAATCTCTATTGGACCTAATCAAACACCAAATCCTAATAGACCTAGTGAAGTTGCTGCCCCTAGCCCTCTTGTTCCTGTTCAACCTCCATCTCATCTTGTCCTCCCTCCCCTTGCTCCTTCTCCTACCCCTACTCCCCCACAAACAAATTCTGTCACACCAGAAACAAGTATTGATGAAAGGGGTACAAAGAGAAAGGCAAGAGAAACTAAGCACACATCAGAGGTTTGGAAATATTTTGTTAGATTGCCAATAGAAGAAACTAATGGAGTTCACTTAGCAGCTTGCAAGTATTGTCATACTACTTATAAAAGCTAATCCAAACCATCACGGGACAAATTCTTTATTAAGGCATATCCCAAAATGTTCAAAGAACCCTCATAAAGCCACTACAGATAAAAAGCAATCTATGTTAACTCTTTTGTCGGGCAAGACTAGTGGCCAAGGAAGATCTTTAGTTACACATGTATATGATGAGAAGCGATGTAGAAGAGCTTTAACTGAATTTATTATCTGTGATGAGCAACCATTTAGAATTGTGGAGAAGCCTACATTTAAGAAATTGTTGAATGAGTTTGCACCTCGCTTTCCAATCCCATCAAGAACAACAATTGGAAGAGATGTGTGGCAATTATATCTTAGAGAAGTTAAAGTATTGAAGAAATTTTTGAAACAGAGTACTAAACGTGTTTGTCTCACCACAAATTGCTGGACATCAAATCAGAATTTCAATTACCTATGCTTGACAGCACATTTTATTGATGATGAATAGAAGCTTCACAAAAGAATTCTCAATTTTGTTATGATTGAAAATCATAGAGGTGATACTATAAGGAGGACCATTGAGCAATGCTTGTTAGATTGGGAGATTGAGAAAGTGTTCACTATCACTGTGGATAATGCCTCAACTAATGACTCAACTTTGGGATATTTTAAAAGATGTTTGAGGAGTTGGAAGGGCTTACTTTGTGATGGTGATTATCTACAATTAAAATGTTGTGCACATGTCCTAAATTTAGTGGCCAATGAAGGTATTAAAGAAATGAAAGACAGCTTTGAAGCCATTCGAAATGCTGTGAGATATGTTCGTTCTTCTCCTTCACGCTTCCTAAGATTCAAAGCTTAGGCTGAAACTGAAAAAATAGACACTAAAAGTCTTGTTTGCCTTGATGTATCCACTCGATGGAATTCAACATACTTAATGTTAAAAGCTGTAATGAAGTTTCAAAAAGTGTTTGAGCGAATGCGTGATGAAGATGATGACTATATTTTGTACTTCAGCTCAAGCACTTCAAGCTCTAGGCGTGAGCGTGGGGCTTCTAGTTCTGCTAGGCGTGAGCAAGATAGCTTTTCTGGTCCTGTTACTGATGATTAGAATAATGCTTGAATTTTCATCAAATTCTTGAAGGTCTTCAATGACATAACATTGAAATTTTCAAGCTCCCTTTCTGTATCGGCAAATGAGTGTTTCCACCAGATCGCTCGAGTTCAGAAAATGCTGCAAAGAAATATCACAAATAATGCTAATAGCTTCTTGAGAGAAATGAGCACTAGCATGCAGGTGAAGTATGACAAGTATTGGGGTCAAGCAGACAATATGAATCCATTGCTTTTTGTGTCTGTCATTTTGGACCATCGGTATAAACTAGCATATGTGAATCATATGTTTGATCTTCTTTATACTGATCCTGAAGTATGCTTGATTATGAATAAGAGGGTTAAAGATTGTTTGTATTGGTTGTTTAATGAGTACTCTGCTGGGGTATCTATTGACTCAGGAACTACCTCCACAAGCACAGCAGGTGCAACATCATTGCCTTCTTTTGATGATGATGGTGGTGGTGGTGAAGAGGATCCAGGTCATAAGTGGTTAGAATCTATAAAACAAAGAACCTCAACAGATCCTCAAACTAAGTTAGATAGATAACTCGAGAGATAAAATCCCTTTTGCAGCTGAGTTTGACATATTGTTATGGTGGAAAGCTAATTCAGAAAAATATAGAATTCTCTCACACGTGGCATGAGATGTATTGGCTATGCCAGTTTCTACAGTGGCTTCTGAGTCTTCCTTTAGCACCGGAGGACGTGTGGTTGATCATTATAGAAGCTCTTTATCTTCTAAGATGACAGAAGCACTAATTTGTAGCCAAAATTGGCTACAACCTGGGCTATCAATGTCTGAATTTGTTGACAAGCTTCGGGAGTTTGATAATTTTGATGAGACAAAACATGTCCTTCAACTTGCTAGCAATCTTTTTTGCCCTCAAATCTTAATAACTCATATTTTACTTCATAATTTGTAATGTCATTGTTCTTTGATTTTTTGTCCTAGATTCTGCTACACCTGGAGCTGGAGGGGAGAATTTAATGGCTATTGGTAATTGAAGGGTCATTTTATAAACATGACTAGTTAAGCTGGCAAGGTGAATCAGTGCTTCCTTTAAAATCTAGAAGTATATTTTTTTTATTGTTTACTTTGTAATATATTAAACTTTGTTATTTTTATTCGTATTTTTTTCAAGTGTTCCATCCTTGTTTGGAAATTATGGAGATTGATGCAAAGTGCAAACTGTTCAATTTTCTTGGCTCCAATTACAATATTGAATCTTGTTTTGAATGGATTATTGATGTTATTCAATTGGATATTTGTTAAGACTTATTTTGGACTATTTCTGAATGATTTTGGTGTGTTAAAATGTAGAATTATGTAAAGTGATTTTCAGATATGGATGGGGTTGTTTTTTTTTTTTATGATTTGAGCAGGGCATCGGTTTTTGGGCAATGGAGCCCCGCCCCGCCCATGCCCTATCCAAAATGGTTAGGGCTTCTACGGGCAGGGCTGGACACCGGGCTACATTTCGCGGCCCGCACATAGTTCAGGCTAGGCATCGGGCTGGGGTCAAGCCCAGCCCAGCCCAACCCTGCCCACGTGCACCCCTAGTAGATAGACATATCACTAGTCACAACAGCCACCCACATTCGCCGACACTTTTCACTAGTCACGACAGCCCCACACATTCACGGCAGTGCTGAAATTTTTAACCTGTATGTAGGGTGGGAAATAATTTGAACGACATAGGGTAAGGGCATCTTTTTAAAATATTTATTTACTTGATAACATATTATTGTAATTTTCATGCATATATTTATACAAGTATGTATTCAGGTAAAAAGTTATCATATAAATATATAAGTATGTATTACCATCAGTTCAAAAAAAAACATGACTTACTAACCTTTCCTAGTTAATATTCAGTCCAATTTAATTATAGTTGGGAAATATCAGTAAAAATAATTTAAAATTTGATAAATATGATATATATATATATCTTATATTTAAAACTAAAATTAATTCAATAATTAGTTCGATATTAAAAACTTGAAGAGTCTTTTTTTTTTTAACACAAGCTACCATTTATGAATGGTATTGTGGTTAAAAGAGATTCATTGGATATTTTGTTATAACTTATTACCAGCTAGTGTTTGGACACTTAAAAAATGTTTTTAAGCATATTTACCACAAATTACGTAAAATTATTTTTAAGAAGTTAATTTAAACACCCACAAGTCACTCCTTCAAACTATGTCTTTGGCCCTATTTATAAAGCTAAGAAATTTTTTTCTCATCATTAAATTTTTAACATAAATGTACTATTGATCCAATTAATAAGCTTTAGATTTAGGAAGAGATTTGGTCTGTTTTATAAATCTTAATTTGAGTTTGTTTTAACATTTAATATATTTTTTTAATGTTGCTTTCACTTATTTCTCCCTTATCATATTTTTTTCACACATTTTCTTTCATTTTTCTCCTTTATTATAAGGATATATTTAAAAATAAAAGTATATTTCTAATATATTTATTATTTTTAACTAATTTTAATTAATTATTCGTTATTCATAAATTAGTTATTTAAAATTCAAAATAAAAAACAGGGGGACTACTGTTCACTGAAACTAAAAAAAACGTTTTTATTCATATTTAATATAAATAATGTTCAAGAAAATCACAATTTGCACAATAAAAAATCAAAAGCTAAAATAATACATTCATATTACAAATTGAATGATATAACTTGTAAATAGAAAAAAAAAATCTAAACCTTACAAGCAGAACAGCAAAGATAGTTTAAAGTATTCAGTATAATAAAGTTTACTTTTTTTGCACAAATATATCTTTTTACTGAAACCTCAGTAATTAAAATGAAGAAAAACAAAATACTGTTTCGAACACAACCTTTTAATTTTCGCATGCGAAGGTAAAATGGAGAGAAATGTTTTCAAACGGACAGCGCTGTAATTCTTTTAAGTTTTAGCGGAGTCAAATCAAGTGAAGGCTCCGAATTTCTTCTCCGTCGGGTCGTTCCATTTCAGTCACTCTTTCTCCATTCACTCTCCTGCAAAGGCCACAAAAGCCTTATAACAGAGTCAAGTCAAGTGAAGGCTCCGAGTTTCTTCTTCGTCGGGTCGTTTCATATCATTCACTCTTCCTCCATTCACTCTCCTGCAGAGACAGCAAAAGTCTTATAGATCTCTCTCTCTTCTCTGATTGATTGGTCGTCTCTGTTTCACCAATGCCTCTTTTGTTTGGTTTATTTGATTGATGATGGTGGTATAGTTGCTCCAACGGATTCTTCTTCTTCTTCTTCTGGAAGACAGGATTGATCGTTCCAACCGTCCAATATCTTTGAGGCGGATAAATGACAGAAGATTCGGATTCGGATTGGATCTCGAGAATGAGCATTTTCTGATCCAGCCGGCTAACCCCTTTATACTCCTTTTTTCGGCCCCTGGGTAACCATTTATCCTTTCACTTTCAATGGGAAGATACTTCAATTCATATCTTAAGCTCATAAAAATAGAAGATGGATATCAAAAAGAACTCAAAGAGGGACATCTTGATCAACACAAAAGAAATTAATCCCCACCCAAAAATAATCTATGTTTTATTTTCTCCTATTTTTATTCGAAGCCAGAACTGAAGCTTCCAGCTGCAAAATTAGATTTTTGTTATTAAACTGAAAAGCTTTTGATTTTTATTAAATGTTAAATAATTATAAATAATTTGTTATCTTTTTCTTTTTTTTTTTTCAATAGACCGGCCTAGTCAAAACCCAAAAGTTTTGGATAGATTGATTGTGTGATATTTTATATTTTTAGTCCTTTACTTAGCTGAAATAATGTCATTTTGAATTCTAAAACATAGCAGTCCATCAAGTTTGTGCTTATATATCTTGTTGAATTATATATGAATGGTTTAATGTATGCATGAATATTTCATTAATGCGTTTTTATTTGAAAGTTACTTTATTTCGGATTACGTACAAATATTTTTTTACATATTATATTATTTTAATCAGGTCCCATCGAGGTTAAACCTTAGTTTGACCTTTTGACACTTGAATTATTATCTCAATATGTTCAATAATTAGTCCGGTTATCAATATCTTGGATTTCTTAAATTGCAAAATTACTTTTCAAATTTCCAAAATATTGAAAGTAATATATATATATATATATATATATATATATATATGCATGCATGCGCGAGCCCCCAAGAAAACACATTGTTGGTCCCTTATAGGGCCACGGAGAAATATGTGGGATTCTTCTTTTCAAGTAAAATGCACAGACGATCGAGCGATTTGCTATGTGAAATGTCTTTCAATGAATTTCACGATTTCCTCTTCCACCAAAAAAAAGAGAAAAAATAAACAAAAAAATGACATTCATTATTTTTTAGGGTATGAGGGCCAATGAATTATCTTTTGCTTCTTGAATATATTTACAACTTTTATGGTCATTCACAATAAATATTACCAGTGTTTGCGTAATTTAAAATATTGTAGGCACTAAATATGAAGTGTTCTTGAGTTTTAGTAGAGGCAAAGAGACTCCAGAATCTTTCCCTTCTCGTCTCTATTCATCTCTATGTGAAGCTGGAATTTCTGTTTTCAAAGATGATGTTTCAATTGAACTATTGCAAAGCATTACTGAAACTTATAAATTTTCAGTCATCATCTTCTCAAAACACTATGCTAGTTCCAGAATGTGCCCGGAGGAACTCACAAAAATAATGAAGTTTCACAAACTATATTATCATGTAGTTCTTCCCATATTCTATGAAGTGGGTCGTTCAGAAGTTTGTAATCAAGAATCTAGCTTAGGAGAAGCATTTCAAGGTCTTATACAAAGAATTTCACCCACTGATGATGAAGTTTCAAGCTGGAGGAGAGCTCTCACAGAAGCTAGAGGAAAATATGGGTTTGATGTGCCTAATCTTGAGTCCAAGTAACTTAATTTTTGTTTTGTTTTACATTCTATCACTACAAAAAATTTGACCTTTGCCGCTGAAAAGTTTCAGCGGCAACATAAAAAGATCGCTGCTAAAAGTCTATTTTTAGTCGCCGTTGAAAGTGTATTTTCAGTGGTGACGAAAAATCACCTCTGAAAGTCCTCTCAGAGGTGACGAAAAAGTCACTGTTGAAAGATGATGAGTTTGCCAACAGGACATGTCGCCAATGAAACATGAGAATCGGCAGTGACTAATGTCGCCGCTGAAGCTTGTTTTAGCGGTGACAAAAAATATATTAATTATTTTTATAATATATTAATTACGCAACAAATTTTGTTTATATTCCTGATAAATATTATCAAAAGGTTTAATAAAAATAAAGTAATTGACTAAAAAATATAATATATTAAATAATAAGATTTATAACTATCAAAGTGTTTTTATGTCTTTAAAAAAAATTGTTCAATTAAAAGATACATTATATAATGCAAAAGAAAAATTACGTAGAGGGACCAATACTAGGGACGCTAGAGGTAGGAGTATCTGCAAGAGCATTTAACTGCATCTTTTGCATGAAAGCAGTGAACTGAGCTTGTATTCTCTGTTCCATCAATTGTTCCATCTATCATTTGTTCTGCTGCATGTTCTACTTCCATCTTCTCTCGCTCTGCTGCACTGCTTCCATCTTCTCTCGCTCTGTAGTAAGATTTGCTTCCATCTTTTCTGGCTCTTCCTAAAATCTTGAGTATGTGAGGAAGGACATATGCAAGTGCGCACAGTACGAATACGGCCGCTTCACCGAATGCGCCTCTTTTGCCCCCCTTCCTTACTTTATCATCATCATGTACCCTTTCTTCTTTGGGAAGGCCATTACCTCTCTTTTCTCACTTTTTATATTACTAATAATAATTGCTGGGGAAAAAAAAGAGAGAATGACACAAAAAAAACTGAAAATTTTAAATTTTAAATCAGGTTTAGTAACACTATTTTATTTGGTATTGATAAGTCTAAATTTATAAATGATGACAAATTTTTGTTGATATTTCTTATTTAATATTTACAAAATTTTAGCTTTTCTTTTGTTATTGTCCTGAAAAAAAGCAAGAAAAACTGGATATAAGGATAAATTTCTGTATTTTCAATCATTTTAATAAAGTTTCTGAGAAAAATACAGCAAAAATGAAAGCCTAAGTAAAAAAGAGAAATGCCGTACTTAGAGAGGGGTAAAAGCACATGGGGTTGGTGACGTGGGTGGTTTTAGGTTGAGATGATGTAGAATATAGTGGCAGTAAAACCCTCCTGCGGGTATATGCAATAATAATATTCCAATGCCTAGGGCTTTTTCAAAAAAAGGAAAAATAAAAGACAGTATTTTTTTTTTAATGAAATGAAATGCTGGTAGAAAAAGATGACAAAGTTGAAGGATGTCAATAAATATTGGCTGGATAATGTCCAATTATATGACAGAGTCAGAGACACCGATGCAAGAAGACAATGCCTAATCATAGCTTTTCGTGAAATTATTATTTTAATTCTAGTTTAAGCCGCCACGCATCTTTTGTCCTGTAAAGGAACATGCCATTGTCTCTTGTACTAAAATCTTACCACCTCATATCCTATATCCTAAATATAATAACTAGTTTTTTTTTGGACTCAAAATATAATAGCTAGTTTATTCAGGCCAATATATATATATATAATAGCTTGTTTATAGTATAATTTAGAGTGTAAATGAGCTCTTTTATGCATGACCGGATGTAGTACTAATTTCTTGTTCAATTTTTTTCCCCCATGAACTTGAAGTCTCCCCAAATCTTTATATTTGAGAATAATCTCTGTCACGTCAGGAGTATTGAGGTTAAAGATCTCTCAACAAGTATGCTTCTAAGATTTATTAATAAGACGTATATAATTTCAGTCTCTCTCATGTGAGGTGTGCGTGTTGAACATATTGATTATCTTGACATAGAGGTGAATTCTCAAGTTCAAATTTAACATTGACACGTGCTTGTGTGCGTGTGTACCTATAAATTAAATGAATAAATATTAATAACATAGAGCTTATGGAATGACCTTAAATTAATTATTTGAAAAGTCACAAGCCTGACGCGCACATATCAATGATGTGTTGCTTTGAGCGCATGGAGGCAATAGACATATAAGCAAGAGTCATTAATTAAATGTAGGGTAATTTTAATTTCTTGATGTATAAAAATTTGTTGGGGAAATCATTATTAAAAAAAAAATTGCTGGGGAACTCATGCCAACTAAATGTTCTCAACCCCACCAACCAACTAAAATTCAGCATCCTTAAGCAATATCTGTATCTTATCCACAAAAATAATAAAGAAGAAAAAAAGATAAAGAGAGAAAAAAAAAGAAGAAGAAAACAATGTCTTTCTCACCAATACTAACAACTGATATGAATGAGCTGCGTGACAACTTGCTCCCCGTCCCCCATGGGCTGTCTCTAACAACTGATAGGAATCCCTCTATTTCCTACTATGGAAATATATTAGGTTCTTCTTATTATTAAAATTTATAAACAGGGCTTCTTCTTTTTTTTTTTCCAAGGCTACTTTGAGGTCACTTTCAAGACTATGTACTGTGTTGCAGTAAAAAGAGAAGCAATGAAAGTTCAAATTTATCCCTAGGACAGTGATAATGCACATGGGCTTTACTCACCAGTTCAACAAAACCCACCACCATTTCCTTGTCACACCACACGAGTTCTTTCCATAAAAGAGAATTGATCCCACACAATTCTTATCTCTTGTAGCTTTACCATTTACTTGCTTTAATTTCTCATGAATGATACTGAACGCGAGCTTTATTCATACTGTGTGGTTTCAGGATATTTGATTCCCAAAGGTAGAGGATTTATGTATATACCAGAGAGATCAATTACGACCCATTTCTGTATCCTGACCCACTCACCTTCAATCTGTGGAACTTCCTATGAACGTATAGTTAATTATGTCCCTTTGCACTAGTCAGAGCGAATTCCACTGAAGAATATGAGATAAACATACATATTGCACATGGCCAGATTCCTTCTGGCTTCCCTTTCTCAGTAACATGCGCTCATTCACCGAAAGGCCTAGCTAGCTGATGAATAATGATCACGAATTGATACAAAGATTATTATTGATGCAGGCTTTTAATGAATGACGCAGAGAAACCCGTGCTTAATCATAACCCCACAAGAAACAGTGTTATGATTCGTTGCTTTAAGAGGGTCCATTCATGATTATGATCAAATGGAACGCTAATCCTTTTCTTTTACATAACCAGTCCAACCCTTTAAGATCAACCACCCAATAACGGAGAAGGTGACGTTGACTTTGGTTGCAGGTGGGAAGAAGTAGGAGGATATAAACTAATGAAATTTCCAAGAGTGGAAGCACCAAATGATCTGCACATAAGAGTCTCATCCCACTAACTACACGAAGGCTTCCATTTGTACAGTGTGAGATATAGTTACCGATAGCAGGGTTCTTTTTACATGGTAGTTTTGAATCCGGTTAGAAAATATTTTCTTCTTTTAGCAAACAACACATACACATGACAGCCATTAAATCTAGAAGGGGATTTTTAAAAAAAAAAAAAACACACAATCAATCACAGCAAACCAGAGAAAAAAAAATAGATCTCAAAATGCAGAACAAGAAATGAAAAAATATATAGCACCACAAGACTTCAAGCGAAGAAGAAGATCGGCGCACTTACATGGATGACAGAAAGAAAGGACGCTGGAAGTGATGGACTAAACACAAAGATGGAAGCTGGAAGTCAGACGCTCAAAGCTCTGTATCTGCGCGGTGCTGGTGAGAGGAAAAAGTGAAATTTTCAGATGGGGCGGGTTAAATTGTTTTGGGTTTCAAAATGAGAAAGTTTATATATAAAACAATTCGCTAGCCTTACCAAAAACACGTGTAGCTTCATTGGCAGGGGTATTAACTTTTACCAGGTTCCTTGTTCAAACCAGCCAGATGACAATTTGGTTATTTTTAACCTTTTTGAGCCAAAATGAATGTGTGAAAAATGAGCACTTGTCAAATTCGAACACGGGACCTCTAGATTAGAATAAATAGACCTGGCCAGCCAAGCTAATGAATTTGATTGAAGGCATTAAGCAACAGAAAATATATATATATATATAAAATATGCAACCGTATATGTTTTACAAAATTTAATTAATCACATTTTAAATAAAAAAGTATAAATAGTAATAAGATTTAATTAACTATATACATGATTTTATTAACTATATCTCTCAAACATATTTTAATTAATTATATTATCTCCTTCAATAATTTTATTTCTCAATCCTCTCATACATATGTTCATCATCAAATATTATTATGTCAATTAAGTATGCTCACACTAATTTAATTATAATAATCTCTCTCATATATTTAATTATGTTGTCTCTTTCAATTATAATATCCTTCTCTCTCTCTCTCTTTTTCTCTCTCTCTCTCTCTCACACACACTATCTCTCTTCCAATTATATTTACATCTACCTCTCACACACACTCTATTCTTTACTACTTTCCCCATCACTCAAACTTGCATACTTTTTCATGCATGCCTTCATCTCATTTTTCTCCCATGCACAATGTTTTTCTATTCCATCTCTCAAACATTTGGATATAGTATATGTGTTTTATACACACTCCAAACTTTCTTCCTCTCCCTTTCTCTCTCAAACACCACATTATCTTTCTTTTAGTCTCTCTCTAACACAATAATACATAAAAAACAATAATTATCAAAGTTACTTAATTACACAAATAAAAGATTATAATATAAACTTTTTATAAAAAATAAAAAATGGTAAAAAAAAAGTGAAAACACTTTCAGTGGCGACTAATTGTTGCCGCTGAAAGCATGTTTCAGTAGTGACAAAAAGTGTCGCCACTGAAAGAAGTTTTAGCAGCGATAGTTAGTCACTGCTAAAAAGACATTCAGCAGTGACTATTCAAGTCCCCAGCAGT